TCAAACTAGTCACTAGAAATGGCGTACTATGACAACACCTCTTCTTTGTTTATTTCCTCCACAAGACTTACCAAATTCTAGTACTACACAGATTATGGTTCTCAATTTACACGTCCCCCTTTCGCTCAAAGAAGCCTTGTAAAAGCCTTCGCCAGCTGTGTGTTGACTGGACTTTGGCGTTGACCGTGGAGCAGCTTATTTACTATTGAAATTTGAACAAATATTTCAAATGATTATAACTTTCTTCAAAGTTAACGAATTTTCAATCTGAAAGCTGATTTGGGAGTTTTGTGAAGAGCTTTTTCTAATCAGTACTGAAATTACAGGAAGTTATAAGAAATAACAAATTTAGATCAAATAACGAGGAAAATTCGAGACGAGCACGAGTTTTTACACTTTCCGGAGCAATAACTTGCTTCATTTCCGTCAAATTCAAAAAGTTGATACGTCATACAAAACTAGAAGATTTTCTCTATCAAACGGTCGCTAAAGCAGCTTCATACGTCCAGTACTCAAAAAATGGCCACGTTGAGGATTTTTGCAAAATTAACGAGGAAAATTCGTGATGAGTGCGAGTTTTTACGCTTTCCAAAGCCATAACTCCGTTCAAACTCATGCAATCTGGAAAGTTAATACGTCATCATAAACTAGAAGATTTGCTCTTTCTAAGGCAACTAAAACTGCTAAATACGTTCACTATTTAAAAAATGGCCACGTTGAGGATTTTTGCCCGAGTACCGCCGAAAGGTACTTTTTCGCTACATTAGCACTATCCCAACGACTATAGCTCCTTGCAGGAGCGATTACATACTGAAGTAGGAGCAGATTCAAAATCCTCGTGCTTTTCTCTCTGCAAAAAGTGTAAAATTGTTTAGCGGGTCTCAACTTTAAAGGTTACATGCTTGTGAATTTGACGCTGAAGGCTGCGTTTCTTGTTGAATAGTGTACTCCTCTCTGTAATTTAACATGAACTCTTTCAGAACCCTCTTGATTCTTCCTGAATTAAGATTCGTTATCAAGATAGCCGTAGCTGAAGCGCGCGCAACCAACTGGGCCCACTCTGGGATGCGCCGTGTGCTTCACATCTCGTTGGATTTGAGGACCTACTTGAAAGATAAAATATCCCTAGAAAACGTGCGAATTTCGGATCCTTTGACTTGTGTGGTGATGAAACACTAAAGTCACTAAGAATTGCTAAGCGGACACCTCTAAATCACGAAGATTTTGTGTGGACGGAATCAATTGTTATTGGAAATACTCTGGCCTGGTATCGATTCGATCCTTAATGTTTGTCCTCCGACGATGATCCTACTGTATCAATCGGGCCCGATCTCTCCCCAGCGGGCCAATACGACCCCCCCCCTCTGTGACATGTCGAGGATTCCTCAACGCACGCTTGACCCTGGTGTTACCTCCGAAGAGGGTAGCGCCTGTGAGACTAGTTAAATCAACGGGCAAAAGGGGGACCATATTTCTCGGACTCTGGGCCGCTTTTCTTCGTTTTTTCTTCGTCTCTCTACTGACCACCTACCTTGGTTCCTAAAATTGAACTAAAAAAATTAGATAAATATTTTTTTCTACTTTTAGATCTACTCAAATTGTAACAGCACATTTCTCATAAAGTATCGCCGGCAAAATTAGTTTAGCTACCCTCCCCTTCAAAAAGCCAGAAATTGTGCGGTGCAGACCATACACCACAAGTGACGACGGCCTCAAAGTAAATCTGGTTAGTAGTGGTTCATAGTGATAGCTGATTTTTAGTAAATGATAGTTGTAATTACTGTCAACTGATCGAATACAACTGTAACAGGTTAATCATTTCATTGGCAAAAACATTTGCATTTTCTGGAGGCCGTCGTCACTTGTGGTGTATGGTCTGCACCCGACACTTTCTGGCTTTTTGAAGGGGAGGTATACTTTTGGTACACACTGTAGGTACAGTTTTGAGTAAACAGCACGTCAATGTCAATATTCATTGAGAAACATCATAAATAAGAAGACGTATGATACATCGAGCGCCACCGTATATGGAATTGACTGCGTGTGTGTGACAATTAAAGTGAACGACATAAGTGATGCGAATGAAGCGTTGGTACTTCGCTGGAAGAGACGAGAATGGTGAGTATCGCACAACTAAAACACGATAGCGATAGCGCCGATCACGTAGATGATCATCGTGACACAGCTGACCAGGTTGTTCATGGCGGCGTGGATTTGTAGCCAATCGGCTGAGGCATCCTGCAAAACAGAAGTAAAATATCCAAGTATGAAAACTGTTCGAATGGCGAGGACCTAGAAATGAAACCGAAACAGGTTGATAATCGCCGATCTATCTATTCTCTTAGGATAACTGGGTTAAAGGGGGTCAGATGTGGAAATATGGTAGGTGGAACCGTAGTCACATGGTCTAACAATGATATCCCGGATCTAATTGTGCATGAACCAACTGAGCCCTCCATCCTAACAGAGGTCAATCGGTGCCAGTCCTGCCTGGGGTGGTAGGAACACTTAGTTGTCCCTATCATTTTGGTGTTCAATGCATGGCTCATCACAAAAAGCAACAAATAAATGCCCGGGAGGTCTTTCAGGGTGTGGAGTGTTTTTTCAAAACGTCTTTTTGCTGTAGAAGCTCTCACGGGGACTGCAGAACTGAGCTTCTCTTCGCTGAGCGGCCCCTGAAGGCGGGTTGAAAAATTGCTTGGAGTGGGTGCCTTACACCGGATTTCGGTAAAAATCTAATTGAAAGGGTTACCAAAAGTCCTGGTAAGAATATGATACCTACAGTTGGCGCTGGTGCTACGAGCAAAACTGGAAAGACACCGGACCGAATGCAAAACTTTCACTAATTCACAATCAACCGCAGAGTTTGAACCCGCACCATTATAACAGGATCAAGCCGCCCAGACACGACAATTTGTCACTCCGGTCTTTGTAAACCCAGCTCATCACCACCAATCAAATAGCAGAAAACGTTTTGAAACAAAATCTAGAAACAAGTTCCCGAAGACATCCTCTGTGTGTTCACATGGGCAAGCGCGATACTGTAGATTTTCCAAAAAGGAGTAAGGGGGCATTTTGCCCATGTGCATTTGAATAGTAGTGAGGTAGGTTTTGGTCGTGTAATTGAAAACGATAAGCATTTTGAAAAATATACAGGGGGGGGGGCAAAAAAAAGACATTTTGCCTATGTCGGACTTCGGCTCTTTTTTCTTCGCAGAGATTGCTGTCGTTGACGGGAGTTCCTCAGCAGAGTATTCCCTAAGTGTTCCTCTATAAGTGAACGCAGGCCCTCCTTCACTGCCCTCACCGTCTTCAGAATATGACGTCATCTGTCACCGTCGTCAGGCTCAAGGAGGTCTCCCGTAAGAGCTCAGCCTGAAAAACACCTTTACCAAAATTTCGTGACATCCGATTCAAATGTCCTGGACACAATAGTTTTTGCTAAAAGATTGCTACCAACGTGCAAATCAACCCTCAAAACAACACTACCATTTCCAAACTCCAGGCCGTTATGGTACACAACCAGCCACACCACAACTCCTGGAACGAGACCAAACTCATTGCCCACTCGACCAGTGCACCAATGTTTCCCAGGGCAGAATTCACACTTACTGAATGCCGTCCACGTAGTGGCTACTCGAACAATGATTTATCTTATACGCAATGAAATGCACTCACAACTTCGATGATAATTAGAAACACTAATCCGGTCACACTTAAGCAAAAACTGTGCTTAACATCTATCTACAGGAAACCGTGGACAGACAAAATGTCTTTTTTATCTGCACCCCTCCCCTGTCATTTATATACATACTCACAGGATGTAATCGACGACAAGTGTAAAATTAAAAAACACTATCTATAACATCATGGAAAAAATGAAGCAAACGCGAAATGAAAAAGCACAATGACTGTGAAAGAAAAAGGCAAATGACCAGAATATAACCGCCACCTTGGCCGCAAAGAAGACCATAACCTGTCCAACGGTTCTTCTTCGGAACCCGCAGCAAAGATTCGCGTTAAGAACGCGAAGCAAACACCGAGTCGAAATACGATACTAAATAAAATCATTAATAATTACGTTTGGCGCAATTATGCCCAATGCCTATCTTACACCAAACACAAAAAAACAAGGCCGTTCGAGTTTTAAGGGCCAATTCAACTTTTTTTTTTTTTTTTTTTTTTTTTTTTTTTTTTTTTTTTTTTTTTTTTTTTTTTTTTTTTTTTTTTTTTTTTTTTTTTTTTTTTTTTTTTTTTTTTTTTTTTTTTTTTTTTTTTTTTTTTTTTTTTTTTTTTTTTTTTTTTTTTTTTTTTTTTTTTTTTTTTTTTTTTTTTTTTTTCAATTGGGGTCACACCGAGAAAAACTCACACATGAGCCGGAAAAATCCCAATTGAGCTATACCGACCTGAATGCCCTCATAAAGGACGCTTTCATTTTTCACTATTATGTCGACCCTCGCGACGGCGAGGCCTTGAATCTGCCTTGCATCGTCCGCACAACGAATCTCCACAGTAAAAGCCTGGCACCAGGTTTTCCTACATTTGATGAGACTGCTGCGAACGCTTCATTTTGCCAAGTCTTCCTCAAGTCATTGTGCAGGTTGAATTCGCCTACGGCTGCCCACCATGATTCTGAATGGAAAAAGAGTGTGCACCCTGGAGAATATGGTCAAAGACGACCACCTATTGCTGTCTCAAAAAATTGCTTATGCTTTATAAACGTTAAGGGCTGTTATGTTGAGCCAATGAGCGTAAGTTTCCCTACCTGGCGGCACTTTTCTCTTTATTCTGCTCATTGGGCAAGGCAATCAACACGGTGATGATTAAACTGATGACTGTGACAGCGCAATGTTGAAGCGTAAGATAGACATCTAGAAAAACGAACAATGGAAGCATTCAAATCGATCACTACTCAAACCTAAACAATGAAAAGCGTACATATTTTGGGAACAGTAGAGCCAAATCCGAGCTGCGGTGTTTTGTCGGCCATAAATTGGAACTCATAAATTGAAGAAGTAAGCGAACATTTTCACCTTGATCTGAAAAGGATTTCGTTAAGCCTAGTAGTCAGCAATCGAATAAGCGAGGCACCTGTGTATGCACCCCTGCACTCACACCATGTATCTTGTAACCTTGGAAAGTGTACAGATAATATTTTCCGTGGGGGAAAAAAAATTTTTTTTTTTTTCCAGTTGGAGGGGTACATTCCATTTTCTGCTTTATCGCTCTAACGATAAGGATCAAAGTAAGGCTAAGGATATATCTGGCAGTAAGTGTAAGGGCTTTGATAACACGCTCGTTTAAAGAAACTTATCCTCAAGAACCGATGTAATGCCCTGCATCGTCGCCATCAAATCCATTCTTCTGCACATTTTGGTCCACCCACTATGGACCTCACTCCCCACCCTACCTTTACTCATGACCCTGGCCAAAATTTGAATGAAAGTGCTATTAAAGCTCGTTTCCTTAGTGTTATCTACGCACTTATCATGATCTTATCATGAAAGCCGCAGAGCAGAATTTAGCAGCTCCTCCCAACTCCAATTTCATCAATTTTCCTTCTGCGACCCTGATGCAGCTTATTCTTTTGATCACCTTTTCTCCTGATCTTCTTGGCTCCTTATCTTTTGATCGCTTTTTTCCCTAATCTTGTGACAGATCGGCCCATGTGTGTCTAGCCCTTCTAACAGATTCCCCTCTTCTCCTCTTCTCCTGCTATTCTCCTGATTTGTCTGCATCTTCTTATTTTATTTTTCCCTGATCACCGAATCTTCAAGAACGCTCAGTGTAAGCGCGATTTGACAGAACCGAATGTGGACAACCGCTATTTCTTAAAAATATGAATTCCATGGAAGGAATTCGTTTCCTTACCTGCTGGTCGAATTTTCCGAAGAACGGAGCGATAAGCAAAAGCAGTGCAGATATAAGCACTGGTAGAGTCAGCTCAACTGCAAGTGTTGTGGAACGACGTCGCGCGGTTACGCAGATCTCCAGCAACTCGGCCCTGAAGGATCATTTCTTCAAAGAGGAAGAGTACGCATGATATAGCCCATAACCTATCACTGGAACCTGCGATAACGACAAACGAAATTTTATAGCCGTTTTTGAACTTAGTACAATTTACCTATCAAGGAAGACCTTTACCGAGCTGTGGAAGAACCCAGCAATTTATTGAGATGAATTTGACTTCCTTACATTCATTTTATTTCCATATTGAGTATATTTTTCTAGTTTCATTGATCCATTTCTTTACTAGTATAGGTCCGCTGAACTACCAAACGCATTGTGGCGCTATCACATTATACGGGGATATCCTCGAGAACTAAGCCTACGAGGGGGCAGGAGCTTCGGAGGAAATGGAACTGGCTCACGCACTTCAAAGTCCTTCCTTCCCCGCCTAAGGCTTAATCCCATTTTCAACAAAAGCCATGTTTAACGCAGTCTTAAATATACCATTGCCATCGCAATGCCCCGTATATTGCTATAGCGCCATTGGTTTACAACTCACAAAAGTTCTTCTTCAATAATAAATATCGCTTTCTATTGCATATGGTACTACATATATATGAACATAGCCACTTATTTTATGGGGGTTGTGCGCAAATATTCTTCACTTTATTGTATCACCCCCTTAGCGCGGTTGAAGCGCGGACCGCGATCCACACTTCAACCCTATTGAAAAGATTTAAGACTCCCATGCCCCCTAGTCTTTTTGAAGGCTAATCCCATGTGTTCTCTTTCACGACCTCCGATGCCTCATTTGTCAGGCACTTGACGTGTCTACTCCTCACTTTCTCTCTCATGCTTCTCTCTCTTCTGGACAATCCAACTGCTGGATTCTGGGTCTACGGTTTCCTTCCGGCACATTTTGGACTGTATGACTACGAGGAAAAGGGGCTGCGGCTGTGATCTTACCTTTTCTGGCTGTTGTGGGGGACACCTGATCATTTGTTCCCCTTGCTCGGGAATCTTCCGCATGCACATAATGCACCACGCGACTCTCCCAGTAATGATAAATGGTCGTTTATGATTGTTCTAAATTGATTATAGTTCATATTAGCGCGCGGGTCTCATCCAGTAAGGGGGGCATCAAGTGGCTGCCTCACCCCCACCCCCTAGACTGCCTACACTCCCCCTGGCGCACAGGTTTCTCGAAGTACGGGACCCCGTGAGCCAGGGGGAGTGAAGGCAGTCTAGGGGGGGTGAGGGCAGCCACTTGACGTTGCATCACAATTGCCCCCCCCCCTTACTGGATGAGACCCTGTAATAGATGACTCACAGGGCTATTCGATTCTGTTTTGGCAAAAAGGTATTACATTTTGTGGGGCTCGTCGTCACTTTCGTGTTGTGAGCTCTGCATGGGCTCACCGGCTGCGGAGCACAGGCGCTCAATCTTCCAGGAGGCGGCGTTCAATTTGCTCTGGATTAACCGAGGAAGGCCGCGGCGCGCCGGGCTTTGTCAGTATATGGCGCTTGAGCCCTGTGTAGCCCAGACGCTTAACTGTTGCAAACGGTGATCAATGTTTAATTGGGCAGCTATCATCTTCCCATTGCCAACTTAGTCATCGCTTTGAACGGTTGCCGAAGGCCTGTCCCCTGTTATCATTACCGCCCGCCGCTAGGTCAATTCTTTTGCAACTTATCTGAAGTTTTCGAGATATTTGTGTTTCGGTTCTTGACTTTTCGTAAGTTGCTTGTGTCCCTGATCCCTCTATTGGGTCGATGTGATCGAAGCGGTGTAGTTAGTCCGGGACGAAAACTTGAACCCGCATCGGTGTGCATTCAAGCGAGTTGATTCAACCAGTTTTTCTTCGCATTATCGTTTTCTGTGCAAACCGCATGAGTTTCAAGAAAACTTCAAATGAAAGCGCAACCAGTGTCTGACTCAAGTTATGTATGCGTTAGTTCTAAAAGAAATACAAATGAATTACATTTTAATAGCAATAATCTAACTGTATGGAAGCCCGCCCTTCGCCCGTTTACCGTACTTTTAAACTCGTCTCCAGCGTCCGCCTGCGTATGAGACTTAGTGATTACTTCACAGACTCAGATTACTTTTATTAAACTAGTGTTGAAATTATTGTTTACAGTCAGTAAAACTCATACAAAGTTTCGAACTAACTATTTTTTTTTTGGATTTTTGTTTTTTTTTTTTTTAAACTAAATCATTTGGGGAGTACTCATATTAGACGCTAAAGTGTGGTAAGGGATTGTTTTTGAAGTCGACTTAGGAATAGGTTTGTTGAAATATGGGCAAGTTCTGACGGCCGAGGCAATGTTTCTATTGGTGTGGTTTCGCGTGAGGATGGGACAGGGGCGACGGTTTTGTGTCAGCGGGAATTTCTTGTTTTAGCGCGAAATATCGGTGCCCATTTAGGAAAGTGTTTTCGCTCAAGCAAAGTTTGCGGAAGTGTTTCCGCTGAGCGTAGAAATGTTGAAATAAATTTAGATGAATGGTTGGTCATTTGGAAATTAGAGTAAGGGAATATCGGTGGTGCGCACGGGGCGGGAAGACACTTTGAACGCGCCGAACCGCGCAAAAATTGGGCTTACTGTGGCGCTGCGGTTTGATTTGCGCGATTGATGCGTGACTGTCATTGCTGTGCCCTCTTTACGCCCTAGCTCCCTCTCTGCATCTAATTCTTCACGTATTGACCTGCGGTAGTGATTAGACTGTTCGGGTGGGTTCCGGCAACGACGCAGGACGTGAGCTTGTTATGTCGCCCTCAAGATTCCGCCTGTTCCTTACTGGCAAATTTTCTCTTTTTTGACCGTGGTCTCTTATCGCTGATTCTTTTTAAATAGCAGATGGACGGTTTTCGTAGCTAAAATTTAAACATAAACATGCAAGGTGTTTCAAACAAGGTGAGCGATGCTTATTAGAATGATCAAGTGAGTGAGTTTTTGGCTGCAGCTCATTGACCTGCGAGTTTGTGTGCGGCGGACGCGATAACGTGCCTATGCAAGTCCCCGGGGCTAATTCTTTCAGCTGTCAATTTCTTTGTTAGAAGCAATATTTGCTCAACGTCAAGCCACTGTTTTCGGTGCATTGCAAATTCAAATACGGTCGGAAACACTTTGTTTTCATATCAAATCAGACTAGAACTGAGAAATGTCGGAGGAAAAACGCGGGAACCCCACCTGAAACTCTTGAATTTATTTGTGAAGTCTGGCTGTGGTCGACGGAAATAGGCACTATGCTGCGAGGAAAGACAGAGAGAGCAGGTCCGTACGAGAGAGTGCGCAGAGCTACGGTATGTTGCGATTAGCAAGCGCGGCAGCGGTCGCAGCAGTAGCAAGAAGAAGCACTACTCCCCTGCTGCGCTTTTTTGCGACAGTAAGTACCACCACTCCTGCGATTTGAGGTCCTGGTACCGCATTCAAGGGCTTTCTCCAAGGATTAAAGTGCGGCGTGCCTTTGAGTCTCACGTTTACACTGCAGAATCAGAAGGAGTGCATGGCGCGCCCTGGAAGACTAATCCATGTCAACTAGCATATTCTAGCCCTTTAGTCCATTTTTACCGAGTGTGATGGTATGAGATTCGTGGCGTGGTGATCGAGATTTTACCTGTTTCTTTTCTTTTCACTTGCCCAGAACATCGTTTACTGCTCTTTTTTCCTTCTAAAGCCATACAGTAACCTACTTGTTGTCGCCGTCTTGAGTGCCTTTCTCACCCACGAGTTTTCGATCTTCCAGTTGGTTTTCAATTGTGAAGTGTCAAGATGTTCTGCAATTCGCTAAATCAAACGTGCGATAAGAGACATGGAGCTAAAAACTTCCTACCGTCTTCATTCTCGAGGTAGTACTTGATGTAGCGTTTGTAGAGGGTGGACTGCAGATTGAAGCAGCAGTGCTTGATATCCTGAAATACGATATTTTAGCGCCAGCCTGCATAAAAGAAGACGAGAGCCACTGATTTTTTTTAGTTATCGCAACCCCTCTTCATAGTATGTACGTCACTATCCTCAGTTGAAGCTTCTTCGAGATATATTTTCGACTGGTTCGTAGCACTTTTAACCTGTAACCCATGATGTTACCGAAACGACCTTGGGTTAGGGAGGGCAATCGAGGTAGTCCACTTTGCGCTAAAACACTAATGGCGTGACCCTCACTTTGAAATTGCACTAAAAGGGCTCATTTAAGAAACAACGTTTTTATTCTTTGTGTTTTTGGTACGATTCTGAGGCGCATTACGATGATGTGGCGTGGCTTTACGACGTGCTTTGCGCATGGACTTGTGAGGCCGAAGAATTAGGCGAGATCCGGTTTGTTGAAAGCGCTTCCGATGTTTGAAAGATGGCCCGAGTAACCGGTTCTGTTTTTCTAGTTGTGTGCTGATGGTGCGCTCGAGTGCATGTAATAAATAATAAAATGAAATTCACAGCAAAAGCCTTTCACAGGGCAAGGGCTGAGGTCATGGGTCAAAATTCTTTCGCCGCACTACGGGCATAAACCGGAAACTCTGCCCTGTTTTGCGGATGTTCCGGCAGCAGCTTGAGGCTAGCCGTTTTGCCATACCTATTCTTATGAATTTTGCTTGGGAACTGTGGAGCGAAAGCGATCTCTGAGCAAAACTATTTCTACGTGATCCACGAGGAGCCGTGGTCTGCTAACTGTACTACGGCTTACTGAGATTCCCTCTGAAACTGGTTGGTTGAATCACTCTGATCTAGAATTTGAGGAGCTGATGTGCTAAGGAAGGGGGGGGGGACTTCGCAACTCTCTTTTCAGTAGCAGAAAGGTGTTCAAGAAATCTGAAGCCTGTATTTCCGTCACCTTAAAGCTATCAACGGCACAAGATGAGAAGGGAAGCTGGGTGGGAAAAAGCGAATTATTTGTTGCAATAGCTTCAAATGAAAGACATGGGGTGATTAGATGATGATGATAGGATAAGCAGAATATGGCACCCTTCTCCTTGATCATATTTAGTTCCACAGACGGAAGGGGGTAGTGACAGGGGGCGCTGCTAACCACTCGCGCGGACCGGGGATCGAGTCCAGGACCGTGCGTGCTGCATCCCAAAAAGGGATCGGTCAACGGCGAATGCTTTATCCATATTCTTTTGTTTCATTTCTGCTAAAAACGTTTTTCAAATACAACTAATGCGCATGTCTACTCGATAGTCGGACCCATTCCTCAATCCAAGGGTTCTTGCGAATTGCTAGTGCCTCAGAGGTCTAATAGCCTACAGTAATCCGCATATGGACATTGAAACTGGCATTCCATTTTAATATTTTGTACTTTTCCCATTTCCGAAGTTGGTCCCCTCACCTCGATTATACCTTAATTTTCCACCGACTCCACTTGGCGATAGGCCTCCGAAAAAGAGAAAATTGAACCACACATTCAATTTCCGTCCCTTGAGCATCGTGCCAAAGCCATCGGAAGGCAGCACATTCCTGGGTCCTTCTTACCCTATGCTAAGCACTGAAGGTAAATTCTCAGAGCAACTACGTCTTCGTTTAGGTTGTTATTCCGTAATGAACGTGAGCACAAGATGGCCATGGCCCATATGATCTTTCCTACAGAAGTTGTAGAGCTTTTGAAGTTAAGGAGTCACATGGACTCACATTGTGTTCCTACTGTGGAAGTAATCATATGACACATTTATTCCTCATATATCCCCAAGGTTTCGACAGTTTCAGCGATTCGCAAGCGAACGACATCATGATGACTTAAGTAGATGCAACATACAAATTGCAAATTGCAGATGGCTGCCTGGCGTTTTTGCTATTAAACCGCACGTGAATCACTAATCAGAGCGAGCTGTCGTTAATAGTTCAGCTTCAAGGGAAGTCACACAGTGATTTAATTTGTAATCCTATCTTTGATATCTGTCAAATCAATCTGCACTCCTTGATTCTGCAGGTTATTTCAGCGTACAGATTTATTGAAGCGATTTGATCGAGGCTGTATTAGCAAGGTATTTATGCAGGCACAGCAATAGAATATTATAAATGATCGTGTTGCACAAAAAGGATTGCCCTAAGAATTCCTTAGAAATCCTAACAATGCTCTCCTGAGGTTTCAGACAGCACGGACTTCAAATAATCGCTCCTTGTCGCTTCAGACAGCACTGACTTCAAATAATTGCTCTTGTCCCTCTCAGACAGACAACTCTGGCTCCAGCTGGATCACGCCTTTCGCACTTTCTGCAGCAACAACTCGGATCTCCTGACCCACCCACGAGGCCTAAGATGTCTTGGCACTGACTGCATGTATAATACTTACACTTGGGTATTCTGTATAATCGATATCGCAGTGAGCTTGAATCCGGAATTCGAGTCTGCCGGTGACATTACCGTTATTGTTGGAGCTGAGCGACTGGAACGTCACATAGTCTGAGGACTGCTGCCCCGTCTGGTGCCTGAAAAAGTAGAAAAGTTTACCATAGAACAGCTTTGTGCAACCCTTTTATAAATAATTTGCAGTTCCTAAAAATGGTCTAAGTGCGCGGAGGTTCAATTTTTGTGGAAAAAATTCGTCCGGCTAAACTTTTTCCAATAAAAGGGAATGCAAAGGCTAAACTCAGTGATCAGACAGAAACCGTTGATGGCACTGAGGCCTTCCATTTTTTTGAAATCGTAACTTGGTGCTGGATCTGCTCGAAGATAATTCCAACTTAAACGTAAATCACTGTGTTCGGAAGAGTAATTAGACTTACTACAAAGCTGGAAACACATTCAAATACATGCAAGACAGAGGAGAAGTGGCTCACGTGGCGCAACCAAAATGGTGTGGTTCCTTAGGACAGAAAGCGACTTTTTCGCGTTTCGCAGCGCGAAACATTTTTCGCTGCGGAACCCCAGGTCCACTCATGATCAGCGGTGGACCTGAGGTTCCTGCAGCGAAAATGCTTTGCGCTGCGAAACGCGAAAAAAAGCCTCATTCTAGCGGACCACAGACCAACCGAAGTACACCTTCAGCTCTGGCTGATTTTGTAAAAATTTTTTACAGTGAGAAATAGATAATCTTTGAAAAGACACTTGCTGCCCCCAAACCATAATGGTCTTCATAAGCGTTCAAGAATGGTTCTTCTCCCATTGAAAGCAGTCCCAGGATAAAGTTGGTGTGCAAGAGCGTTCAATAATGAGGGTGGAGCGCGTATGGGCTGAAAGCAAAAAAGGAAGCAAAAGGAACTTAAGGAGGCCATGGGACGGCGGGGAAACTCAGGGCACAGAAAGGGAGAACACGCGAAAAAATTGGCCATACGAGAGGTCACAGATACATTTCTCAGTGGGCACTAGGAGTGCCACTCTCACCACCAACCGGGAACACTCACAAGGCCCAGCATCCTTCTCGCCAAATTTCGCGCACTGCGGCACTGCGAACGGCATTGGTAAC